TTACTCACCATTGCAAGAACCTGGAAACAACCCAAGTGTTCAACCACAATCGAGTGGATTAAGACATTATGGTACATTCACACAATGGAATACCATGCAGCACACAAGAGCAATGATTTTGTAAATTATTACCTAACTTGGGACGGACTGGAGAACATTATGCTGAGTGAACTCAGTCTCATAAGGACAAATACTGTATAAAATCATTATTGTAGAATGAATAGGCTCCAAGGGGGTGGAGGGTAGAAGCAGAGGGGTGAGGATGTGTATGTATGGGGATTAATCATGGGGTCCTACAATTTGATGAGGGGATGAGGAAAATGGGAAGGATCTGGTGTGAAAAATAATGTTTTTGAATTTTTTAAAAAACCCAGTATAAGATAATAATGTAAAATAGAATGTTTATGAATGAAACACACTGTAAAGGTATTATTATATGAAAATCAATAAAAATATTTAAAAAATAAGAATGCAATCAATGTCACTAAACTGTACAGGTAGTGACTGTTGAACTGGGGTTTGTTTTGCTGTACAGTCTCAACAACAACAAAAATAAATAAAATTTAGAGGGGAGAGAAAAAAGACATCAAGAAGATGTAACGACTAGATCCAACTATAAGGACTAGACTGCAGCAAATCTGGAATAGAGCAGGACTAGGTGTGAGGACTGGCCCAGACAGGCCAAAGGCTTCTCACCTAGGCTCTCAGAGGTCTCCAAGGAGACAAGGCCTCAGGGCAACACTTGGCTGTGAAAGGCGTGAGAAAAGTGTGCCGGGTTCCTGAGAGCAAGCAGGAGCAGAGTCAGGAAGAGGAGATGGGGTGAAGGGGGACCACGTGTGGACATCCTGGCCTGGGAGCCCAGCAGCCAGCAGGGCAGACCACCTTCACGTTTCTTTCCTCTTCCCTTGACAAAAGCCAACCCCCAGGTGCTGCCTGCTTTCATCTCTGCAGACCCTCCATGCACACTGCAGGAGAAGCCAGGAATAGAATCAGGAGGGCCAGTCTACGTGCCCTTGAGATCCTTATGCATGAATACCCCCACCTATCGAGGTGATTCTGAGTCACAGCAGCCGCGCAGGACACAGCAGAAACTCCCCATAGGGTTTGCTTTGCTGGAAATCTTTATGGAAACAGACTGTGGATCCTTCTGCTATGGAATTGCTGGTGAGTTCAAACTATCAACCTTTCAGTTAGAAACCATTAGAAGTCCCATCAGTCTGAATGCAGCAAAGCATTCCAGTGAAGCATACCACCTCCTGACACTCTCAGCCTTCACAAAGGCTAGCAGAGAAGGACAGCTGGAGGCCCTGCAGCAGCCCTAGGACAACTAGGAGGACACAAAGAGGTTCCCAGCCCCCAGCCCCTCAAGGCCCCATCCTGCTTTCCTTCCCAATGCCTGAGAGGCTTCCAGCCACACTGGGGGAACCAGAGTGGAGGGCAGTGTAGCTCATTTAGCATTCTCTTACTCTCAGCCCCAGGCAAGTCCCTTATCTTGTAGCCCTGGCTGGCTGTGCACAATGAGTAGAAAGGAGGGCAGATAAAAGGAGACAAAAATAGGCTTTCCAGGAAGAGGGGGTCCTCTGCAATAGTGGGGGAGAGCTGGGGGCCCTGGACCCAGGAGACACAGGAATTCCAGGCAGCATGGACTCCTGGAGCTCAGCTGCTCTGAGATGCTGGGGATCCTCACTCCAGGCAGCCCTGATTTCTTAGGCACCCTGATTCTGTCTCACTGAAGACCATTTTGGTTTATATAAAGGGAAATATAGGTGTGATTGCTTAGATATTGTCCTATCTCCCTGAGTTCAAGGAGTGAAAGCACTCCTTTGGTTTCTCTGAACGTGGAGTAAGAAGTTCCTGGTGGTCCATGTCCTGGCCCTTCTGCACCTTCCTCCTCCTGTGATATTACTGTAGCCAGCTGCAGCAGGCAGGCCAGGGGACGAGAACAAAGACAAATCAGCTGTTACCATCCAGATGAACTACCATTTAGCCTTGGGGTGAAACTAAATTGCACACAGAAGGCAAGAGCTGGTGTCTGAGCGTGGTAGGCAGCTCCGTCTTTATGGCTCATGGGCACGGGGGTGCAAAACGTTAGAGAGCTTTTCCAGCTCTTTCCGAATGTGCAGGATAGGGACTCTGAAAGAGCTTTGGTTCCTGCCCATTTTAGAAGAAAACCTCAGTTGTTCTGGATTCTAGTCTCTCCTGCTCTTCAGAGGAAGACAAGAGAGTGGTTCATCCTAAACTCTCCAATAAACAGTGAGTCATGGCCATAAGGAAGGTCACAGGGCTCAAGGTATGAGCTCTGGAGTCGGATTACCAGGGCCAAGTGACCTAATCTCTCTAAGCCCGAGGTTCTCTGTCACAAAGAAAAATGATTATGATTCCTACCTCGTCTCTTCTATATTGAAAAGGCCAACAAATACGTCTCACTGCCATTATTATCATTATCTAGAAAACATGATAACTCTGTTCAAGCTCATCATTAGACTCTGGTTCTCTACTCCTGCAGGCACCAAATCAGATGTCACAAATTCTAAGAATGAGGACCAAGATCACAAGAAGGAGACTGAGGAGGTGGAGAAACAGCCACTTCAGTCCCTCCTCTAAGGACCTACACCAAATATTAAGAATGGGAATCCCAGAACATTTCATTATACTCATACAAAACTTGTACTTAGACCAAGAGGCTATTGTGTAAACAGAACAAGGAAACAATGCATGGTTTAAAATCAATAAAGGTGTGCATCTGGGCCTTCTCCATACTTATTTGATCTGTAGGCTGAACTAATAGTATGACAAGACAGAGTTTATGAAGAAGAATGTGGCATCAGGGTTGGAGGAAGATTCATCAACAACCTGCATTATGAAGATGACTCAACCTTGCTTGCTGAAAGTGAGGAGGATTTGAAGCGTGTACTGCAGAAGATCAAAAACTTCTAGCCTTCAATATGGATTATATCTCAACATCAAGGAAATGAAAATCTTCACCACGAGGCCATGAGGCAACACCATGATAGATGGAGAAAAGACTGAAGTTGTCAACTATCTTATCATACTTGGATCCACAACCAACACTTTCATACTAGAAGTGAAATAAACAAAAGGCACACCGTACTGGGAAAATGTGCTGTCAGGAACCTCTCTAAAGTGCTGGAGAGCAAGGTCATCAGTTTAAAGACTAAAGTGTCCCTGAGCCAAGACACAGTCTTTTCGATTACTTGTTTCTCATCTGAAAGTTGGACAATGACTTTAGGATAGCAAAAGAATTGATGCCTCTGAGCTGCGGTATTAGAGAAGAGTAGAGTACTGGATATGGCACAAATTGCCAAAAGAACAAACAAGTTTCTCTTAGAGAAAGTCCCACTAGGGAAGTAAGGCTGGTGATGCTTTGTCTCATATAATTTGGACAGGTTGCCAAGAGGGGCCGGTCCTTGGAGAAGGACATCAAGCCTGGAAAGGTGGAAGGTGAGCGTAGGAGACCCAAAATGAAGTGGAGCAACACGGTGACTGTAACAATGGGTTCAAGGTTACTGGAGATGGTGTGGAGGACAGGGTCAAGTTCAATGGCACACAATAAGGGCTCCTCCTCACGGTCCTGCAAGGAGGGGAGCCACAGGAGGAGGAACCTAAAGCCCATGTTCTCAGCTCCAGGTTGACTTCTTAAGCTCCATGAATAACTCTCCTACTAACTGATTAGAGGAGGCAGTATAATAGACTTCGGCATGTCACAAACAACTGCCTCATGAGCTACTAAAGGTCAGTGTCTCCTGAAGGCTCAAATCACAACTGTCCAGGTAGACACTGCTGAGAGACACTTAGCATTAGTCACTTTCGTTCCCTCTGGGATATAGTTATAGTGAGCTCTCCCAGCAGGACTCGCTGCATTACTATCTGGATCATCTGTAGTGTTGGCTTGACACAGGGGAGAAGAGCTGAGCTCTGTCTCTTCCTAAGAGATTTCATGGACACTCTGTGGAGGACCAGAGGGCAAAGTTCAGACTGCCTCCTGCCTCTGTGCTTCTCTGAGTACCAGGGACAGAGCCCAGCAGGAATCTGATACATGCTCCCGATTAACTCTGATAAACCCCACACTTTCAGAAAGCTCTGTGCACCATACTGTGCTTTGAAAACTTATACCTGGACACAAGATCTTATCTATCTCTTGGAACTGGAAGCTCTAATCTACAACATACTAACCCAGCATGTCCTCTGTCTCTTAGTTTCTAGGTCCTGCCAACTCTTATCCTTAATTCTACTGCAGCTCCTCAAAGAGCCCATTTTGTGCAGAGTAGGTTCATGAAAGACACTAGATGAGCAAAGAGGAGAGAAAGTTCTGCACAGGCACGGTTACATGTTGTAACTTCACTTATGCCAACACAATCAGAACTTTTAGGACTTGTCATGCCAAGCTCCCAAACCATGGATCAGACAGTTATGCGCCCACCCTAACCCCCAAGGAGACTGTACCAAGGTTACAGCCAGATAAGCAACACAGAATGCCTTTCCCGAGGCTTTCCACTTCATCTGAGACCCTCTTGGCAGCAAAGCAAATTCCTACCCAGCAGGGAGACACAGGGGAGACTTGAAACTGAGGTTTCACTAAGGGCATCCTTGAAACCTCAAGTGAAGGGAAACGAGGGCATAATGAGGTGCCCTGTCAAAAAGTTTCTGAAGTTTCTGCACTGGATTTAGCAGGAATGCTCAGGAGGGTGGGCAGGCAACCATCCTCTTTCTTCCAGATTTTTCCAAGCCTGGTTCCAGAACCCTTTCTGCTTCTATTAATGCCACCCCAAACAGCTCCCTGAGGCTTCACAACTTCCTCAAAGATTCTAGAGAAAGTAATGAGACTAAGAAGAAACTGAGGCCACGATCCAAAGGGAAATAGTATTCTAGGAAGCAGCAGCTTCTTCTGATACAAAGAGAAAGCTCCAAGAGTAATCATTTCCCAGTAGAAAAAGGCGGCCCTGGCCTCCCAGTCAAGAAGGACCCCACCCAGGTCCTACCTGCACAATGTCCAACACCATGCCGGCTGCCACAGTCCCAAAGCCTGCCAGGAGGAAGGGGAACAGCACTTGCAGCCCGATGGAAAAGGAGGTCTCCTTGAGCGGGGAGGGTGGTGCGGGGCCATGGTCTGTGCTGACGTCGTCACTTTCGTTGCTCTGGCTCCCGTTCTCCAGTAGGGCGTCCTCCTCCCGAACCCCCTTGGCGTTGGCACGAGACTCAAGCACCACCACCTCTACCCCAGCCCCATCAGGCCCCAGGAACTCTGAGGTCCCGGTCAAGGACTCTCGTCTGGGGCCATCTGCAGGGCAGGGAGAGGTTGTAGGGCCAGTCCCGTTCAGCTGGTGGACCTCCTTGGGCTCCGGCTTGGAGGACATGACGGGTAGGGTGGAGGGGAAGGGGGTGTACTCTCCTCTCTTTTTTCCACCTGCTCTCTCCCCCTCTTTAGCTTGTAAAAGAAATTAGTCTTGGGGTGAGTCCAGGCTTGGGTGCCACGGCACCTCTTTCCACGGCTCTCTGCTCCCACCAGGCAGTGCACAAACTGATCCACCAACAGGCAGCCCCATCAAGCACTGAAGCCGCAAGCTGGAAGGAAACAAAAAAACTCCTCACCAGACTCAGCGGCCAGCCACTAGGGGTGCAGCTGCCTGACTCCACTCAGCCGATGAGTGGGGAAGGTGTCTGGCCTCTTATCTTCTTTGGTTCTCAGCAGCAGGCTCCTCAGATCAGGGGGCATCCAGAGCACAAGAGCCTTGCCAAGTCTGAGGTGCCCTCTGAGGTACCCCCTCTTTCAGTAACAACAGCTTGGGTTCAGTCGTTCAGAACACAGCCTCGGCCTGGGGTTGTGGCCCCTTCCCACTCGTCCTTCAGCTTCCCACTGCTCCTGGGGCTCTGCTGGTCCGTGGGCAGAATCTGCTGTCTGCAGGCTCTCTTCCAGAGACCTCCTCTCCTTCTGGAAATTCTCTGTACTTCCCCAAATCCCTGGTCCTTAAAGTCACAGCAACCAGTATGGAGCACCTTATTAGGAAGAAAGTAAAAAAAGAAAGACAGAGAAGTTTATGATACAGCAGAGTTTAGCTTAAACTGGGAGAATTCTCCCCCAAGAGGTATACATACTTACTGCCTCCCTCTTTTCCAGTTCAATAATCTATGCCACATGTATCAACACTGCCACCTTTGGAGGCCAACCAACCATCCACCAACCCAAAGGGTTGTCCACCATGGTCAGTAGCAAGGAGATGGGTGCAGCCTGGGGGGTGGGGAAGACACTGTGACACTGTCCTTTTGGAAACTGGGGGATGGGCAGTGACCATCTGAGGACAAGGCCTTCCTGATGCTCATTTATGAACCCTGGACCTTTTAAGGTGATCTCTCAGTGGGGCCAATTATAATTCATTGGCACAAAAGAAATCACAAGCTATAAACATTAGCAAGGGTGCTCGCTCTGGCCACATAGTTCTGTGGCACTGCTACCCATCAGAGTGTGTCTTGGGCAGTTGGAATCTAGCACCTCAGGAGAAAGACGGGCAGTGCCCTCTTGTTAAAATCTAAAGCCTTGGAAACCCAAGGGGGGGGTTGCTATGGAAATGACTTAACAGCAGTGAGTTGTTATCATTAATCAACAGTATGATAACTGCACAGGGTAACTAAACAGGGAGAATCTACTGAGCGAAGATTCCTAGACTCCCAAACATCCTAGACACACACACATACACACACATGCATGCATACACACACACTCCAGAAGGACTCCCTAGGCTGTGGGGCTTGCCAGACAAATGCCAAGAGCCAGAGGCCTACCCAAGTCTGCCCTTGACAGTCAACAGTGTTACAAAAAGCTCTGCCGCTGACTCGGATCCAGGCATCTGTCTCCTGTTCTCTCCCTCCTCTTGGCCCTATACGCTGGTCAGAGGGGATGAGGGAGTTACTGCAGTCTGAAGGAAAAGAGGGCACAACTGCTGACGTTTTCCACTAACTTCAGTTTCCTAGGTCCCTGCTCCCCAAGGTAACAGAGCTAGATAGGGTAGAACTCCTAAAACACCAACCAATCAACAGAAGCCTCAACAAGGCACTTCAGCCAAGTGCATCTGTCCCCAAGCCAGTGCTTCTCTGCTTAGGTGGAAGGGTCTCACTTCTCTTGCTTGAAGGAATCCTGGGCCTGAGTGATTCCCCCCTAAATCAGCAGAGCATGCCTTAAAAATGTGGGGCTATGAACAGGCCCTTTAAGTCTTACACACACACACACACACACACACACACACACACACACACACTCTCACTTTCAGGACTCACCAACCAACAGTCAACACTTGAGTTTCTGACAATCCCCTCACTTTGGCTCTTAGCGAGTCTCACTGGACACCCAGTAGGAGCCTCTGCGCAGGAGAGCAGCCACTGCCCTTGGGTGGAAAACTTTCGGAGTGTTATATATTCTTTCCCTCCTTCCCGCCTTTCTTGGCCATCGACTTAACCTGAAAGGGGGTTCGCAGGAAGCCCACTCCTCCCAGTAGAAAGACTACAGACAGGCCTAAGACTGGGGTGAAAGAAGCCCAAGTGAACCAGTACACCCTACTCTTTCCTCCCAGACAGACGCCGAAATGAGACAGAAAGCCCGAATTAGACCCCCCACAACCTAGGGAAGTGGAGAAGTAACTGGGTGGCCTCCCCCGCTTCTCCTCAAGACTCAGCAAAAGCGCTGTGCGCCAGGACTCCCTCCCTCCACCACTCACCCCTCCAGACCCTGGACTGACCTGCGCCTCACTGGGAAAGAAGGGGGGCGCCTGGTGAGTGGCAGCAGGGACCCGTGGTCTGGGGGGCGCAGGGTACCCCCTCTTCTCATCACTCCTCCTCCCGCTCGGCAATCCACCTCGGCCCTCTGGCGTGCTCCCCACCCCGACACCCCCAGCCAAGGCGAGCGTCCGGCCGCAACACCCGGCGCGCTACATTTCGCCTCTGCGTTACCGCAGGGCCTCCGCTCGGCTTCCACGAGGGGGAGGTGGTCGGGGAGGGCAGGATATACCGCTTCGGGCTGATGGGGGCGGGAGAGGGGTCCCCAGGCCGGTGACTCGGGGGCTGAGCTCACTCGCCCCCCAATCGCCTCTTCCCCGCCGACTAGGGCTGCCCTGGTTGGCTGCTGGTGGCAAACGTGATCTGGGGCAGGCTGGGTGGCACTCTCCCCTACCTACAAAACAGAGCCTGGAAGGACGCGGCGGCCGCCAATCGAGGACCGGGGAGGAGGCGGGCTCGGCCTGGGCCCGGCCCCTTTCCTTCGCTTTGCGCCGCGGAGGCGGGGCGCCGGGGCAGCGCAGTGCGCTGACGGACGGGAACTGGGAAGCCGCGCGCGAGGCCAGCGGCTCGCGGGTCCAAGCGCCCATCGGCGCGTGGCCTGAGGTCCCGCTGCCCAGCTCTCCGTGTGCACGGTGCCCTCCCGCACACCCGCCCATTCGCGTGCTGAGGTTCTCCAGCCTTTTAAGGCTTGTGCGCCTGTGCGCGTCTTCTCCTGCATCTTGAGTGTTTCCTTTGAGGCTCTGGCCTTCGAGAAGATAGAGAACCAGCCCTGCAAAGCCAGACATCCCACCTGGACTTAACCCCGGTCCTCTAGCAGGCCCCCCTCCCCACCCCCACTCCGAGTTCCTTACCCGCTCTCAGTACCCGGAGGGCCATCCCTACCTCTGGACAGAGCTCCACGCCTGCTGGCTCGCCACCACGCGTTTCCGCCAAATTCCACTTTCCTCTAAGCAAATGGGACAGCCCAAACGGAACCGGCCTTAATAAAGTCACTGCCTGGAAAGGGGTGGAGGAGCGGGCGGGGGGAAAAAGAGGTTATTAGAGTCCGGCTGGGGTTCCACACGCATTACCTGAGGTAGGGGCGGAGGGGGACTTGCCTTCCTTTGATCCTCTGATCTCGGTAGCATCCTGGGGGGAGATCTCTCCCACGGAGGGGGAGGGGGGCAAATGAATTCCAACTTTCCCTGACGCACCTTGTGGGATCAAAGAAGGGTGTTCCCATTCATGGTCACTTTTGCCATTTCCTCCCCTGGACGCCTCCACCTACCCCATGCCATCGCAATACCAGTTTCCTCTGGGATGTTTTGGTGCTGGGTGTGTGACCTTCCCCGTAGAGGAACCCCTGCTTCCAGGTTTTCCCCCCTCTTGTAAATGGAACTTGCAAAGAATAGTTCCTTCCTGCACTTTTCCTCCAGGAAAGTGGTTCAAGGGGCAATTGATCATGACTCTAGAACCCTGAATGAGGTTTAAAACAGAGATGAGAAGGGAGAATACCGCTACAGAAAGTTCCCACTGACCTTTCCTCCTTCGGCCCCACACTGGAGCGCACACAGCAACCTGAGCGGGTAATACTTCTGGACAAAGATGAGGTTACTAAATACACAAAACAACCCCTCCCACAATCCAGTCCCTCTAGCATCATCCCAGTGCGGGTGCTGAGACTTTGCATCAAAGGCCCACAGCCTTACTAGACCCAGTAGAGGAAATGTTAGAGTCCTAGTAGAACCTCAGTTTTGACTTCAAACATTGGCTTCTCTCTGCCTAAAGACAGAGTGGTTGGTTTTTAGACCAGAACGCATTGGGTCCTACATGCAAATATCAGACTTGTAGGTAGGGAAGGAGTTGAACAGGAAATTAAAGCAAATAAATATCTGGGAGCATTTTCATTGGGGACTGAAAACAATTTCTGCCCTTCTTCACACACACACACACACACACACACACACACACACACACACACACACACCGGGAGCACTGGTGGCTTAGTGCTAAGGAGTTGCACTGCTAAACCAAAGGCACTTGGTTTTAATCCACCAATCCACCTGGTGCTTGGTGGAAGAAAGATGAGTAATACACCTCCTTGCGATTTATTCCCTCTGAGAACCTCCTGGAGGGTCAGCCGTGGGTCGTTTCTCCTGTGGGTACTTTTTTAAAAATTGATCTATATATGGGAAACTGTACAGAGCTTAAGTGTACAGGTTGATAAATTACCACATAGTGACCATACACATAAAGCCACTATCTAATTAACTAATTAGATCATTATCGGCACTCTCGATTGCTGACATACACTGTTGACTTGATTCTGACTCACAGTGAACCTATAGGACAGAGTAGAACTGACCCATAGGGTTTCCTTGATGATGAGCAGGTCTTTACTCCCCCAGCTAATGGGTTCAAACTAGTAATCTTTCGGTTAGTAGCCAAATGCTTAACCATTATGCCACTGTTGTTGTTGTTGTGTACCATTGAGTGGGAACTCACACTTGAGCATGTTTTCAGAGACAGTCCATGGGAGGAGATTGCTCATCCTTCCCCCAGCAGAGCAGCTGGTGGATTCGAACCGTGTCCCTTCGGGTTTGCAGCACAGCTTCCTGCCACTAGGCCACCATCCCTGCCCTGTCATTACCCACCCTTCTTCCTAGAGATAACTCCCTTCTAACTCCACAAATGAGTTCTGCCTGTTTCTGAACGTTATATGAATGGAATCATTCAGTAGGTATTATTTTGTGTCTGTTTGTCCTCACCATGTTTTAGGCTTCTGAAGTGCATCTATAATGTGGTACAGTTGCACATTCATTTAATTGCTATCCTCAAGAAGTCATTGTTGTGGCATTGGAACTGACTTCTAATTAATCCTCCATTGGGTTTCCCCAGGCTAGAAATTACATGGGAGAAGATTGCCCATCTTTCTCTCACCAAATCACTGGTAGAATCGAACTGCCAAGGAGGTACAGCCTTGGGTTATCAGTGCAACTCTCTGGACACTAGGCCACACAGCCCCAAAATTGTCCTACATTATACCATTAACTGAACATACTGTGCTTCCCATAGCCATGGTTCTATTGTTGTACGTTGAGGCCGTTCCCAGGTATACA